ACAGGTAAGTCAGGGATAGTTCCTGTCTTCATGGACTTTATTTTTAAATCCTACCATAAAATACACACCTTACATAGTGAATTAAGTCATTCATTAAGATTGTGATACTTGATAAAATTGGCAAATAGAAGAAAATGTTAAAAAGTGGGAGAAAAACAAAATAAAATAAATAATAGACATCAATGGAAAGGTTGAAAAAAGATAGTAGTTTTGCAATAGCTAGGTTGAATTCCCCTATCAAAAGAAACAGACTTTCCATGTTGGTTTTAGAAACTCAGCTGGGTGGTATTTTCTGGAAACATCTAAGTAAACATAAGATAACAAAAGGGACATATTCATAATATCCACAAATATCATAAAGGATTTCATAATAAGGCTAATAAGAAATATGTAAGATCTTAAGATTAAAAGCTACAAGATTTTACTGAAGGACATAAAAATACCTAAATAAATGAGGAACTATTTGATTTCCTTGGATGCAAGGTGCACTATTGTAAACACATTAAATCTCCCTAAATTAATAACTTAAATGTAATTCAAATCAATATTTTAATAGGAATTTTTAATGAAACATCATTACAGAACACATAGAAAGAAATAAAATGTAGATTTTTAAAGAAAACTTAAAAGAAAAGTCATCAAGAGGACCCTATTCTATAGCAAAATAGCCTCCCCTGAGGAAAGGAGCTTGGGGAAGAAAATCTGTTTCAGCTTCGCATTGTCAAAGCAATACTTGATAACACAGGAAACCTAAAATATCTAACTCACTGCTTTAATACTTCAAGGTAGACCTGAAGAATAAAGCACTATGTAGTTAAAATCATGAAAACACATGAACATTCAATGGCATTGGAAAGATATTCCTAAAATATTATAAAGTTTGAAAACAGAAAACAAATTTTATTTCTACCTTTAAAAATCTCTAGAAATGTGTATTTACTGGGTTAATACTTATTAAGCTAGAATTATGACTATATTTTATTTTACTTTTACTTTCAAAATTTTCATCAATAAACTATTAATTATAAAATATAATTGAAATGGAAAAATACATAATATTAGAAGAAAAATGATACTGAACTCAGTTCATATAAATTAGTTAATTATAATGGGCCAACATTTGTTTCCCTGTAATAACATGGAGTTTTGTGAATTATATTACAGTGATAGTTTTATATATATTTGATATTTCAGTCATCTTCATAGTCCTCTCTAGTAAAAATTCAGACAGGAACTGCAATATATAGTTATATCCACTAGAGGGCAATATATGGCTTTGTAAATGGATGTCTCTTCATAGAAACTGAAAATGCTTAATACTCAAGAGATTTAATGTTCTCCACAAACACAGAGAAAAGAGATGAGCTCATTCCTCATACTGAGGTCATGATTGAAACTTACAAAGAGAAAGTATGTTTTTAACCTCTTTGTTTTAGGCACACAGGTATTGTGTCAGAATTGTTAAGAGATTCTGTTAAAGGGTTACTGGCAGATTGGGTTATTTCATAACAAGGAAGTAAACACAGAATAATTTGCATGGGGTCCAATTCTAATTGAGATAATACAGCACCCCAAAAACCCTTCCCATCAATCAAATGTACCAAGTCAGTCATGCTTAAATTTTTCATCATAAAAAGTCTACATATTCCATCTTATTCGTCCACTAAAAAAGAAAAGAGGAAAAAATGTATTTCTTTTTAGCATGATACATTTTTTCAGATGTTGACAGCATTATCCTTTTTAATAGTAAGACTAAACTATCCTCATTTTAAAAGTTATGACTATTCAAAAAATGTAAAGAGTCTAAAAATCATCTTTAAGCAATAACCAATGTAAACATGTTTCTGTCCAACTACTTTTGGTTGATTAAAAAATATAGATGCATCTTTTTTATTTTTAAGTTAAAAATTTTTGAAATATTTCATAGTAATAAATATATTATCATATTAATGATCACTAGTATTCAATCATCCATATTTACAAAATGTATACAGACAGTATTCTAAGGCAACATACTTTAAACTGAATGTCTGCCCTTTCGGACAACAGTATTCTTCACAAAATTGACAGAAATAGCTCCATTTAAAGATGACTAATGATTAGAGAAGGACCTATGTAGAAAAATGGAGAAAGACAACAAAACATAACGGAACCTAACAAATGAACCGATGAGAGATATATATTAGAAAAATTTTGCCACAAAGCAGAATAGTAAAACAAACACTCAGGCAATGACATGAAAACAGTGAACAATTATAAGACCTCTTTGGAACAGTATCTCAAACAAGGGAACAAAAAGAACACTTTTGAAAACTACATGGGAAACATGGAGAGAAGGCTAGAAAAAGGAAGTTAAAAAATAATGCAAAGACCAAAGTTGAAAATGAATTGAGACAAAATATCAGATATGGGAGGGAGATACTTTATATTTTTTAAGATATTCTGAGATCATAATAAATGGACAAGAAATAATTTCTCAAGTTTTAGAAGAAAACTTAGCTGACAATAAAGGGAAAGCTGGATTTTCAAGTAAAAAATGGAATAGCATGCCCCTGCAAAAGTGACACAAAACTATTATATATCTTTATGAAATTACTAGACTCAAAGATGAACAAATAAAGGTGCCTCCAAAATGAAATATCTCTGAAAGGCTAAAAGTAAAAAGGATATAGCAGATATATTATGAATCAAATAAAATCATATCAAAAATCATAAAGCAAAAATTGCTCCCCAAACCCCAGAAAGATATAAAGAAATATAATATGAGTAGGAGGATTAAGTTATCTCTCAGCCCAATGTTCAAGTACTCAATATATGTGTGTGTGTGTATATATATATATATATGCATATATATATATATATAAAATTATTTTTGGAAGGTCCTTAAACATATCTCAGATATTATGTTTTATATGTCACTAATACAAATATTGATGAATATTTTCAAAATGTAATGTTGAAGGATCTCTCTTCAGATACAAGACTATGTAGCTTTGAAAAATTGGAATATGTAGCCCTGGTCAGTGTGGCTCAGTTGTTAGGAGTGTTGTCCTGTACACCAAAAGGTTGTGGGTTCGACTCCTGGTCAGGGCACATAAATAGGTTTCCGGTTCAGCCCCAGCTTGGTGCCAGTGGGAGAGGCAACTGATCAATGTTTCTCTCACATTGATCTCTCTCTCTTTCTTCACCTCTCTCTTTTAAAAAATCAATAAAAATGTCCTCGATGAGATTTTTTTTTAATTGGAATACATAATTTACAACACAACTGAATACACTGATCAATAACTGTTTTAATAAGATGTTACAGTACAGCCGAAATCGGTTTGGCTCAGTGGTAGAGCGTCGGTCTGCAGACTGAAAGGTCCCAGGTTCGATTCAGGTCAAGGGCATGTACATTGGTTGAGGGCACATCCCCAGTAGGGGGTGTGCAAGAGGCAGCTGGTCGATGATTCTCTCTCATCGACGTTTCTATCTCTCTCTCTCCCTTCCTCCTCTTTGTAAAATATCAATAAAAAGATATTTAAAAAAAGATGTTACAGTACGTTATTTAACAGTCTTGAAATCAATCCAGTTATTACAGACTCCATGGCAGTAAATCATCCTACTTTAAAGTGACTTTGGCAACAGACATGAAGTAGACTCACGACAGAGATCTTTGAAAGCCGTGTTCTAATTTGCCTATGGCTACATAACAAATACTTCAATCCCTTCTATATTATTACCTCACACTGTACTAGATAAGAAGCTGTATTGTTACTGGGTGGTGGGACTGATATTTAAGGAACAGCAAATTACTTCCAAGATGTCATAAACAGAAATTTTCTTCCTCGGAGAACAATTTCTATGACAGTTCTAAATCTCTGATCTATAAATTATATTTAATACAGTTTTCTTTCTCATAGTGGCATCAAAGGCCATTCCTCAATCAACTTCAACGTCAGCTTCAGTCATGCAACAAGTCAAAAGCCCCAGGCACGTCAATATCCACAGCCATTCCCACATGACCCACGACCTTGCCCACCAGCGCCAAGCTCTGCCTTATTTTAACTCGTGGCTTCAAGGCAAGATGGGGTGTCCTCTCAATGCTCTGAAGTGTCAGGATCGATTAGACAAAATGAAAGAAGGAACGTGAGTGAAACCTGACAGAGGTGGAGGCAAAGCGAACCACGGCAGAGCATTCCTTAAGAACCTAGGCGACGGGGAAATAAATCTACGGAGACAGAAAGTAGATGGCAGCTCGTTTAGGGTTAGAGGCAGGGATGGGGATGGAGGGACACAGGTGATAGCTTTAGGATATGGGGCTTCTTTTCGGGGGGAGATTAAAATTGAGGATGAGAACAGTTGCATATATGGGTGAATATATTAAACATATGTACAAAAATAATAATTTAATAAAAAAATATATTATAAAAAATATATATTATAAAAAAAATAGCATTGAAATGAACATTTGAAAAATGAATGAATGTATGGTATGTGAATTATATCTTAAGGCTGGTTTTTTGTTTTTGTTTTTAAGAAGAAAAAAAAAGGGAGGGGGGAAGAAGCTAGTTGTAAAAGGTGAGCCAACAAATCCCAAGCAGGGAGGAGCACGCGGCTCTTCTTCCAGAGCAATCGGAGATGAGGTTCGCCAGGGATTCTCATCATCAATGTTAGTGTCGGAAAAACCTCCTTTTCTCAGGGGCTCACCAAGAGGTTGCTCTTCTTGCAGGCTACACTCCTGAGCATCCATCAAAATGACTCACTTCTCAGAGGCAGGAGCAATAAGAAAAGCATTCAACTCATAACTGATTAAGGAAAAAATTCCGTTATGTGTTTTAGTCTGACCAAGACTAAGACAGTGAACCAGGCCGTTGTATCCGTTTATAAAACATGCCAATCGGTAGGATCCATACTATACCCTTTGCTAATAGAGTTACGTTGAATTCTTGCTCTTTCAAAAAAATATATAAAAATAAAAATCTCGTTCCCTGAAGTAAGCGGCACGGGCTGAGACTCACAGTTCACGATGTCCCCTTTCAGCAGCAGGATCTGAGGCACCGGCATCGTGAGCACGACGATGTCAAACTGCTCAGGGGAGCCCGTTTCCTTGGAGACTTCCCACTTGTTGTTTCTCAGGTTGATCTGGGTCACCCACTGTCTGAAACGGATATTGGCACCTGTTCCAAGAACAAAATCACGTTCACGTCAGCAGAATTTTTTCCATAGGAATAAATGGGGGGAGAAGGGCTGCCAATTAGATCCATTCGGGTGATCCTCTACAGCCCCTGGGGTTGCCCTCTACAGCCCCTGGGGTTGCTTTTCTTTACCTTCTTTCTCATTTAGGAGGAATTCCTCTCCATCTGTCACACTTGGACCTGCCCATCAATGTCTGCTCTGAGTGTGTGGGAGATGGGAAATACTATTACAATTAATGAGGAGAGTAACTATAGCTATTTTTTTTTTAATTAAGCATCTACTGTATGTTAAGACTATGCCAAGCACTTAATATACATGCCAATTAATTTCACAGATAAGGAAAGAGATTCAGAAATGGCATGTCGTAATTTAGAGCTGCATCCCTCTGACGTTGAGCTCATTATCATTGTAGAGCAAGTATATATTTTAGTAAAGGTGTTAATTCTTCTCTCTGATAAGAGCAAGAAAGAGCACCACTCCCTATTAAAGGAATGATTGTTCTCTATTAAACCTAAAATAGGTCTCTGTAAGAGAAATCCAAGTACTCATCAATAGATCAGTTATCTTCATTAAGAAGAATTAAGAGAAATACAATCTAGAATACCCTCTTATTGCATGTTCCTTCTTTGCAATTGTCACAAAGGTATTTTAATACTTATAAGAGTAATTATTTGATTAATATTTTCTTCCCTTTTAGTCAGTAATTAAGTCTGTTTTGTTTCAATATATAGCATATAGTACTTGGCACATACTAGTGTTTAATCAATACTTATTTAAGATGGTGATTTTCTTTTTAAAAATATATATTCTTATTGATTTCAGAGAGGAAGGGAGAAGGAAAAAAGAGAGAGAAATATCAATGATGAGAGAGAATTATTGATCGGCTGCCTCCTGCAGGCCCTCTACTGGAAATCAAACCGGTAACCCGGGCATGTGCCTGTGACCAGAACTGAACCTGGGATCCTTCAGTCCACAAGCCAATGCTCTGTCCACTGAGTCAAACCGGCTAAGACTAAGATTGTGATTTTCAACCTTTTTCATCTCATGCACTAATTACTGAAATTCTGTAGCACACCAGACAAAAATACTTTTACCGATCTGAAAAAGAAAAATTACAGGTATAATTTTGATTTATTCACATAAGATGGCTATTGTTGCGTTGGCTGTTGTCATTTCTTTATTTGACAAACTAAATGGTCAGGAATTGCATGTTTAAAAATAAAATCTTGTGGCACACTGGCTGAAAATCACTGGTTTAAGAGAATGAATTATGAACCAGAAACTGAAAGATAAAATATAATTAAATCGGTCTCTTTGGTACATTAACATTCACTTCACATTCCAGTTTTCAGAAATTTAGATTTAAAAACAAATTCACTTTTTTTCAGCCTCAGGAATAGAAAGGAAAGATCTGAAAAGTGAAATGAGAAAAAAAGCACACTGAAAGGAAAAACTCATGTTACCAGCCAAAAAATATGCTGCTTAGGTCCAATGTTGACCATGAAACTTTCTTTTTTGTAGCTTTTCCAACTCAAAGTGATCCTTTTCATCTAAGACATTCTGCTTTTACCACTCATTCAAAATTTCTGTTTGCTTTAGGTATGTCTTATCTACCCAGAACCTTCTAGGCTTCTCCAGGTCAGGTCTCCAGACCTCATATACCTTTGCATCTTTCACTGTCCCTTAAATAATGTTTCAATGCAGAAACAAACAAACAAACAAACAAAAAAAAACCTCAAAATTTTAAAGCGTATGCAAATTAGCACCATTCTGTTCAAGGATTGGAGCAAGGGCTTATAAACAGAACTTCAGCTGGTCTGGAGGTTTCTCTGAGGCCCTGCTTAGGAAGGCACAAAAGCCGGAGCTTTCAACTCAACAACCATCATCTCCTTTTCTCCAACCTGAGCAGCTCCATTTCAATCCATCCTATTTATTTAGGATGGCTCATCCCCAACTTGCCTTGCTCTGGTCCTGGTCCTGCCTGACCTCAGTGAAGTCAATGGATTTTTTATTTGATTCAGTTGTGTCTTCACATAATATTCCCTTTGACAGGAGTATACTGTGTTATTGGTGCTGGTGAATATATGTGTGTGTAAGGGAACTGAAGTCCACTGACCTAGAAATTCTGCATATCCAGCCTTGCACCTATAATCCCAATGGCCCCAAAGTGTTCTGCACTTGGGAACTTGTTAGAAATATACATTCTCAGGCCCCAACGCAGACCTATTAAGTCAGAATCTCTGGGGATCAGGCCCAACAGTCTATATTAAACATCTCCTCCCTCTCCCCCACCCCCACACAGGCTTACTAAAGTGTGCGAACCCTTGGCGTAGATGACAGACCCAAATCCAACACCACAACTGGCAAAATCACCCCAAAAGGAGTATCTATCTCAAGAGGTAGAGGGTGATAGTATAACCATTCTTACAAACCAGAAAGTTCTCCTTTCCTACTACTAGGAGTGAAGTTTCTGGGAAAGTAGCTTTTCCTTATGAAAGCAATTACTAACTTTCCAAAGGACCAGATCTTAAAATCTGTGGGCTCTGGAAACTCTCATTTTAAAACAGTTTTGAAAATTATACAAAATCTCTCGAGAGTTACTTCTGAGCTTAGTAAATCTGACCATGTCTGTCTCTGTGTAATATTCCTCGATGGCTTCCCACTGCACATAAGATAAAGTATAAAATGTTTAGCATTGTTTACAAAGCCCCTTATGATTTGGCCCCTGTCCTAGTCTTGAACTTCATCTCTTATCACTTGCTCCCTCATTCACTACTCTCGAGTCATCATTACCTTTTAGTTCCTCAAATGCACCAACTTGCTCCTATATTAAACAGTTTCAACTCATGTGTCCACTGTGTGCCATTATCACCATCAGCTCTTGGCCTAGTTCACTCTTGCTTACCTTTGGGGTACCCATGAAGACATTAGATCCTCAGTGACACCTTCTCAGACATGTCTCCCCGCCGTCACTCCTCTGAAACTCACAGTAGATTAGGCCTTCTTATTATACACTCCCTCATAATGCTCTCACTCCTTCTTAGCACTTATTACGTGCCTTTGTGTGTGTACGTAATTAATTTAGTGTCTTTCTTCTCTACCTCACTCTACATTAACAAAGGCAGGAACCATGTCTCTTATTTACCACTGTTTACTCAGCACATAATATTTAATAAATTTTTTAAAAATCTGCAGATAGCAATAAACATATCAGAATATTAAGGTTTAAACATTGTGTAAAAGCAAATGTGTGTGTTATGTATTTATTTAATATAATCCCCTGCCTTCCTCCTTATTAAAGAGAAAATCTAAATTCATTTTCCTACAATAATTTCCTACAAATAGGGAACAGAAGTTCAGAACTGATCAGATGACACCTGAAGAGATGTGAACAATGTCTAACTAAATGTACTGCTTGAGAAAAAGAATAGATAGATAGATAGATAGGTAGACAGATAGATTTACTATAAACATAGACCAAACATGGTATAGAATGGCTTATGTAAAAAAATCCCATGTGTATTTTTAAAAAGAATAAATATAAACATGCATGAGTAGAAAATAGAGACAGCCAGGTAGAGTGATAGCTGTATAAACATTTCTCTGGAAGCACGCCTTGGAAACTATTAGTGGTTACTTTAGCAGAGGAAAGCTAGCTATTGAGTGGTGAATAAGAGAACATCTACTTTATAACTTTCTTTGAAGTATTAATATCTAATAATGTGTGCTTAATTTTAAAGGAAGACAGAGAAAATCCTAATCCCACCTGATTCTTTCAAGTAATGCTTAATAATTGAAGAAACTCCTTGAGGTGCCACAAAGTTAGAGTCTCCTGCTTTCATCACCGTGCCTTCAATAGGGTAGGTCAGAGGCTTCAAAATGCCATGAGCTAGCAGTTCGTCATAAAAACTGAAATAAACCAACATATATTACATAATGGTATTCTATAATCAGCTCGATCAGACCGTATTCTCTTGCAAGAGATTATAATACTAAGTATTGTAATAATCAGATGTTGTCCTGTGGTCAACTCAACATGTTTTGTGTTAATAACATTTGCAGTTCAAGTGAAGAACGAAAATGTCTTGAGAAGCCATAAACCTTTTGCTGACATTAAGCAAAGGCCTATTTTCCTGTCCATTTCAGAAATCATGTCAGTAAAGACAAAGAGAAAGGCATTCCGTACAATGGTTTCAAATTGGTTACGATTAACTTCCATCCCAACTAGCTTGTCTTCTCCCTCAACACCAACATAGTAATTCATATTCAAGAGGCCTTGCTGTGTTCCACGAAACACCTCATCTGATCTTCACAAGGACACTGGGAGGCATGTAGGAACAGCTTTCCCATTTTACTTAGGTTAACCTTTTACTGCTAATATCATGAAAATGATAATAGCATAATAATGTCACTATACTCCAAGGAGCAAAGTGTAACTCTGTCAGAAACGGGTGGCTTGTATTTTCAGGTCACACAGCCGATCCCACCCCCGGAGAAGCTCACCTTTGGTGCTTTTGGGCATATTGCGGGGTGCGCGTGATGTACTGGGCGCCCAGGTCCACGGTGCTCTGCGGGTCGTAAGGGCTGCTGGCGGTGGCCATTCTTCCCCCTGGAATTCACCCACAGAAAGAGGTCTCTGCGTTAGAAGGAACCTTGCAATGCCCCCCACTGCCTTAGAATGAATCCAGGAAAGCTATGCACCCCATTACCCCACATGAATTCCATGACAGCTGGTGTAGAGGACATTTTTTCTAATTTTTTTTTTTTTCAGTTGAAGGTTTTGCCATCCAGTATTGGCAGCAAGTAAATAAGACACAATTTGGTCACTGATTGGGATTTTTTTTTATTTTTTAAAAAATATATACTGTAGTTTATTGATTTTTCACAGAGAGGAAGAGAGAGAGGGGTAGAGAGTTAGAAACATTGATGAGAGAGAAACATTGATCAGCTGCCTACTGCACACCCCCTACTGGGGATGTGCCCTCAACCAAGGTACATGCCCTTGACCTGAATCTAACCGGGGACCTTTCAGTCCGCAGGCCTATGCTCTTATCCGCTGAGCCAAACCGGTTTCGGCTGGGATATTTTTTTAAAGGACACCGTGAGGTGCATATAGTTAAGAACGTGAATGAATGAATGAATGAATGAATGACAGGAATGAATGAAACGTGAGAATGAATCCATCGAGGTCAGCTTTCTCTCTTTCAGGCAGGGCTGGGGAGAACAGGATCCTGAACACTGAATCTCCCTAGAGTCTCTGTCCGCGGGCCCCTTAGGATCCTCAGGATCTGGGCGAAGCTGCCCGGGTCTCCCCAGCCCCCCGTGGGCGTTTGTGATTAACGACGGCGGCGGCCCAGGGGTTCGGGCCCGGCCCCGCCCGGGAGCCCGGCCCTCGTCGCCGCCCCGCCAGGCCCGGGGCGCCCCCCTCGCCCGGCGGCGGCGGCCATCCCCGGCGGCGGAAGTCTCCGATCACGTGTCCCGACGCAGGCCCGCCCCGCCGGGGCCCGGGGAGCCCCGTTTTCTTCGGGCTTTTCCCGGTGGTGGGGCCCGCGCCACCCCCGAGGCCGGCGTCTGGGCGGCGTCGTTCCCCGCGTCCCGGCCGTGAGACGACCCACCTGAGTCGCCCGCCTTGTCCCACACGGCCAGGTGGACGGGGCGAGCCGCCTCCCTGCGCAGCAGCGCCGCGCACAGGCTCCCGGTCAGCCCGGCGCCCACGATCAGCACCCGCGCCATGGCCGAGTCTCCGCGGCGCGTCCCCGCAGTCCCGCCGCCGGCCGCCAGGGGGCGGAGCGGCGCCCGGCGCGCGAGGCGGGCCGGCCCCGAGGGAGCTGCCCACGTGGGCGCTGCTGGGCGCCTAAAGCCTGCGGGCGCCCTTGGGTGGATGAGCTGCAGAATAAGATTAATAAAACTCATGAGATCATTGTATTTGCTTCCTTGGCTGTCTCTGCCAAGCCTGTGACCTGAACAGACATTGTCTCATATAAGGCAGTCAGAAATTGTTTGATGGTGGGAGGAAGGAATAGAAAGAAGAAATCAAAAGTGACACACATCAGTTCTGTTTCTAATGTTTCTTTATTTCCAGTATTTTTTTTGTGTAGACCCTTGCTTATACCCCTTCTCCGCCACCAGAGCCCAGTGGTATATATTATATTCCTCTACCTTCTCATCTCCTATAGTGAGCCAGTTGGTCATTGGTTATCTCTGTATTAAAAATGGCTGGGTTTGGGGCAAGATCATCCATTGGTTATCTCTGTATTGAAAATGACTGGGACGGTCAGATGGTATGTCTGGGGACGATTAGGGTAGGGAACATAAAGATACGATTATTTCCTTAAGATAGAGTTGAATAAAATGAAATCTGTTTAAATGCATTTCATTCATTTGATTTTTCATTTGTTTAAATAGCATTCAATTTGCGATTGCGTTTTATGTGCCTGGTTTCCCCTGTTCTCAAGTACATGAATCTACATAGCAAGTAAATGTGGAGTATTTTGACGTCTCCAGAGGACACCGTTAGGTTCAATGGAGCCTTATTCATTTCAGCAAAGAAGAAAAAGTGGAGGTCCTTTCTATATGGACAACAACTTCTGTTTATCTGTTTGACTCAGTATCATTGCTTTGTGAGACTTTCTGGAGAAATAATTTTTGAATTTTAAAGAATAGTGATTTAATTTTATTCTTTCAAAAATACTGGGCAATTTCTGGTGATCACAAAGTGTTAGAGTAACCGAAAGAGTAGTGCATTAAACATAAAATCCTATGATCAGGACATTTTTAATATATAAAAACCAGAATTGGTTGGGAACAAAAAAATTAATAGATATCTTCCTAAATGTGAGCTCCAACGTTATTTATCCATTGTTCCCAGCAGACTATTTCAGAAATTTTTCAGTTCTTTAGAATTCTGCCAATTAACCTTCTGATTGTCCCACTGCATATAGCATCCCTTGGTTTCCCTCAATGTTTCTCTGGATATGTGAAGCGTCTAATCTTCTGATTTCCTCCAAAGCACAGAATTTCCAGTCAAGTTGTTAACCAACTAATTCAAGATCTATAGACTCTTGAACCCCAACTGCCTCCTCTGCTAAACATTTCACTTAACGTCTGTGGTTTTGAAAATCTGAGCCAGCACTTTTGATATTGGGAAAGACTCATGGATGTTACATTAAGTCATAATAAGAAGCAAATTTATAAGCAGAGTTTGGAGATTGATCTCTATTATTATTTTTTTTGTATTGGTGAGTGAACTATTTACAACTGCTAGGTTTATATCAGCATGGAATTATATCTGAGGCCTAGTTTTGTATGCTCAAAATTCTTGATAAAGATGACTTCAATGGAACAAAGGTCCGGAGTCCTCTATCACCTACTTCTGCTCCCAATCAGGAAAACAATTATTTTTTAAGAGTAAAGTTTGGAATGACTAAATATTGTTCTGCTTGAAGCTATAAAATATTCATGTTTGCTTTTGATAGTTGTCAAGTTCAGGTACTAATCTCATTTTGATTATAAAATACATGGTCTGTATATATTAAGTAGATGAAACTTTTTTTTTTTTTTTGAGATTTATGACTGTTTGCTGAATTGTGTCTCCCCTCCACCAAATTCATATGTTGAAGTCCTTACCTCAGAGTGGGACTTCAGTTAAATGAAGTCATTAGGGTGGCCCCTACTCCAATATGAAGGGAAGACAATGTGATGACTCCAGAAGGAGACAATTGTCTGCAGGCCCAGGAAAGAGGCTTCAGGAAAAAATCAACCATGCTGACACCTCGAACATCTAGCCTCCTGAACTGTGAGAAAGTACATTTCTATAGTTTAAGCCACCCAGTCTGTGATACTTTGTAATGGTAATCTTAGTAAACTAATACAGTGACCTTCTCTGCTCCAGAGAACCCCAGTTGCCCAGAAGGTGAGCTATGTCCATAAGCTGAAGCTCTGCTCTTACCTGGAGCCTATGGAAATGGGCATGTCTTGAGCCAGTGGCTATACCTGAGCTGGTTTTCTAATTTGTAAATTGAAGATGATACTGGCTATCTCACAGGTTGGCTCTAAAGATTACACATTACAATTCAAGTAAAAATGCATATAACATACAAGTGTTGATTAAAACTACTGGAATCTTAATATTTTTAGTCTGTTGGACCCACTCTGGGCCTCACATGACTTAGCCAAAGATATCTTTGTTTCTCAGGTTTCTGTCCTATAGTAGACTAGAGGCCTGGTGCATGAAATGCATGCACGGTGGGGTGTTTCCCTCAGCCCAGCCTGCAGCCGTTCCAATCTGGGACCCCTCGAGGAATATCTGACTGCCTGTTTAGGCCCAATCCTACTGGGAGCGGGCCTAAACAGGCAGTCAGACATCCCTCTCACAATCTAAGACTGCTTGCTCCCAACTGCTCACCTGCCTGCCTTCCTGATTGCCCCTAACTGCTTCTGTCTGCCAACCTGATCACCCCCTAACCACTCCCCCCCTAACTGCTTCTGTCTGCCAACCTGATCACCCCCTAACCACTCTCCTGCCAGCCTAATTGATGCCTAACTGCTCTCCTGCCAGCCTGATTGCCACTATCTGTCCTCCCCTGTCGGCCTGGTCACCACTAACTACCCTCCACCACAGGCCTGGGTCCCCCCCAACTGCCCTTCCCTGCAGGCTTAGTCACCCCTAACTTCCCTCCTCTGCCAGCCTGGTCAATCCCAACTTCCCTTTTCTGCCAGCCTGGTCACCCCCAACTGCCCTCCCTTGCAGACCTGGTCCCTCTCAACTGCCCTCCCTTGCTGGCCATCTTGTGGAAGCCATCTAGTGTCCACATGGGGGCATCCATCTTTGACCACACGGGGGCAGCCATCTTGTGTTTTGGATTGATAGTCAATTTGCATATTACTCTTTTATTAGGTAGATTGTCTTCTTAAATCTTTGTTGCAGCTGTGTAAGCATGAGTTGGGGGTCATGATAGAAACGTGGTTTTAGAAACAAATGCAATTTGGGGGGACTTCCCTTTCACACAATTTACTCCTGTAACTCATCTGGACATATCATGCTTATTCATAATTAATATCATTTCCAAAGACTGTGTAAGGTTTGAGTAAGTGGAATAGGATATTGACTAGGGTAGCAGATTCTGTTTACAAATTCTTAGAACATCCACAAGTGTTCTCCCCAAAATAGTTCTTCATAATTTTATCCTTAAACCTCTATCTCTTAGCCAAAAACTTCTCACTCCACTTGCCTCCATTGTGGTAGAGACTCATAAATTTGCCTTACCCAGGTATTGGTGATAAGAGAAGGGGGGCAGGGTCATAATTTAATAGGACTAGGGTTGGAACCCATTGAATCTGAGATCAACATCTTTATCTCTAGAGCTGTGGAATCAATTCAGGACCAACAGGCTGGATCCGGACTGGTCTTTGTCCAGAAATTCTAAAACACACCTATCTTTGTTTCTTCCAAAGAGTCAACAGAGCAGGTCTGATTTCAATAATGCATTTTATCGTTTTCTTAAAGATTAGGGGGAAAAATATTGTTTCTCCCCTAATCTTAGTCTGTGTGTAGGTCACCAAACTTGCCAGGTATGGTAGGACTACTGTTATGGCTTTTTATATTTTACTAACATATATGCAAGTGGTCTTTTTTCTAGAAGCTATGAAACCCAACTCACTTTTACCACTACTGCTAATATTAATAAAATACAGATTCTCTTCTAGTAAAGCATGGTTTCACAAAAACCTAGTGTTGCTTTTAAGTATGATTGTTTGTGAAAACTCTTTCCTTCCTTTGTATTCACTTAGCCTACTCCTGCACACTGACAGTGACTGACAGATAGGAAAAGGCCACTCTGATCCTAAGGATGCAGCAACTTACACTATCAAATCCATAACCTCATTCACCTTCTGTCTCTGCCTCCTGCAATCAATTTGGTTTTTATCTGGGGACATGGAGCATTTGGGGATATTTACTGTAAATTGTCGATACAATAAAAAATAAAATCTTACTGCTAGATACAAAGTTCTGGGTTTTGCTGACAGTGAAACTTTTTTTCCCCTCCTTAGTGGTGTTTTTCTTCTTTTTTCACCGTATTCCTTAAGTTTTACTAGAGAAGGAGTTACTCACCTTGGAAATGCACAGACCTAAATACATGCACATTTCCATAGGCCCCAGGTAATAAACATCTGTCCTTTATCAATGTCATTGCCAACTATTCAGAGTGATAAGGGTCACTCTACATTTCTAAGAGGAGTTGTAATGACAATGGAATCACTCGCAAGTGATAAAGAAACTTTGGAATTTTATGAAGACAATCAAATGGCGTCATTTCATAAACCCCAGGAAAGGTCTTATGTGTTTGTGAAATGATGCAGGAAATAAGCTAATTCATTTAACATCTAACTACTAAGCACCTGCTGAGTGAAAAGGCCTGAACTGTATTTTATAGTGAAAGAGATGTGTTCTAATGAAGTTCATCTTCTTGAAAAAATAGGTCATGCTTTAAAGTCATTAAGAAGCAATATAAAGAAGCAGAGATATATAAGCCAAAATAAGTTTTATCGTCACTGAAATACAATAGAAGATCGTAAGAAAAATAAAGAAATGAATTGGGGCTGGGGATTTTAGAAACACTCTATTCCCTAGAACAAAGAAGATTCTCTAAAAATGTCTATTGAATGGAATGTGTTATTTTCTATTTGTATTTCATACTTGGCAGAGTAGGAGCCATCACAAGCCTTCAACCCAAAAGTGATATCATTGGACTTTACTTTAGGATTCAAATTAGGTATCAGTTTGATGATGCATTGAATAATGAAAAATTAGAGGCTAGAATAGCAGATAAAAGTGGCAGCAAAAGTCCAATTAAAATATGGCCAAAGGACCTAAATAGACACTTCTTCAAATAGGACATACAGATACAATAGGCCTATGAAAAATGCTTAATGTCACCAAACAACAGAGAGATGCAAATTAAAACTACAATGAGGTATCACCTCATACCTGCCAAAGTGGCTACCATCAACAAATCAACAAACAAGTGCTGGTAAGGGAAAAGGGAACCCTAGTACATTGCTGGTGGGAATGAAGACTGGTACAGCCACTATGGAAAACAGTATGGCGTTCCCTCAAGAAATTAAAAATGGAACTGCTTTGGACTCAGTGATTTTACTTCTAGGAATATAATCTAAGAATCCCAAAACACCGATTAGAAAGAATAATCACACCTATGCTTTCCTAGTTTATTGAAAGATCTGGAAACAGCCCAAGTGCCCATCAGTAGATGAGTGGATAAAGAAGCCATGATACCTTTGCACAATGGAATACTATGCAGCTATAAAAAAGGCTCTCTTGGCCTTTGAGACAGCAAGGGGAGACCTGGAGAGTATTATGCTAAGCAAAATAAACCAGTCAAAGAAAGACAAATATCGTATGATCTGATGAACAAAATAAATTGAGGAATAACATAGAACCGAGTGCATGGTAACATGGAACATACTGACACATCTCAGAAGGAAGGGTGGAGTGGGGGTGGGGGTGGGGAGAAATTAATCAAAGAACTTAAATACATGCATTGCCCATGGACACAGACAATAGGGCCATGAAGGCCTGGAATGGGAAGGGGGGTAACTAAGTGAAGGGAGGTAATGGAGGGACAAGGGGGACATCTGTAATACTCTCAATAATAAAGATTAAAAAAACACAACAGTGTCATGGTGGTATTTCTCAGGGAAATAATGGCTGAGCTGAGACCTAAAGATGAAGAAGAGTTATCAAGTGGAAAAGGAGAGTGGAGCAGGGAGAGCGGAACAGGGTTGAGTAGGTTAGTGGGACTGTTATGAGTAGAGAAAGCATCATGTTTCCTCATGGATCTTCATACATCTTGTGCACAAAAACTAATGCCCTTTTACTACCCTGTTTCCCCGAAAATAAGACAGTGTCTTATATTCATTTTTTTCTCCCAAATTTGTGCTAGGTCTTATTTTCGGAGGATGTCTTATTTTTGGGGAAACACAGTAGTTTATATGACTGCCACAACGACCTCTAAATACCTTACATTCGCTAATCCGAATGTAAGGTATTTATAAAGAAGCAAGAGCATGTTGATTGTTTGGTTGCATTATTGTAAGAATCATAGATCTCGCTGAAACCGGTTTGGCTCAATGGATAGAGCATCGGCTTGGGGACTGAAGGGTCCTGGGTTCGATTCCGGTCAAGGGCATGTACCTTGGTTGCAGGCATATCCCCAATAGGGGGTGTGCAAGAGGCAGCTGATCGATGACTCTCTCTCATCGATGTTTCTAACTCTCTATCTCTCTCCCTTCCTCTTTGCACAAAGTCAATAAAATATATTTTTTTTAAAAAGAAAAGGAATCATAGATCTCTTTCAAAGTAAGTATTTATATACTGCATATGTGCACTATGTCCAGATTCTAACTCCAAATTATTTTCAGCCACAGTAAAAGGCCAAAGAAACACATCCTGCATTCTCTTGTTTAAATCTATACTGCAGTGTCATGAAGAAACATGGTTAATCAACTTTGCACCTGCTAGTGAAGTAAGTTCAAATTGCATTCGGATAGCGAGCAAAACCCTCTCCCTTTACGTTGATCCTTATGAAAATGTGTCACCATCTTTTACTTTCAGAAATGTTATTGTCAATGAAAATCAGCCAGACTTGAGCAAAGGTAATGTAAAAATATGTAAATAGCCAAAACTGGTTTGGCTCAGTGGATAGAACATCAGCCTGTGGACTGAAGGGGTCCCAGGTTCGATTCCGATCAAGGGCATGTACATTGGTGGCAGGCACATCCCCAGTAGGGGGGGGGCAAGAGGCAGCTTACCGATGTTTCTAACTCTCTATACCTCTCTCTTCCTCTCTGTAAAAAATCAATAAAAATATATTTTAAAAAATGTAAATACGTGTGATATTGGACATATCCTAAATTGTTTTTCTAGTTTATTGAAACAATGCAACTCCAATTAATTGTATTATGATAGTTGATGGAAAGTTGATTTATAACTTGCCATTTCTGGTATTTAAGTACTAATAAAAAAATAATTATTTCTTAAAAATAAATGGCAAATTATTTTAAAAACTCAAAATATTATTCTCTTTTTCTCTCACTCTGAGTTACAGATTTTCTCATAGTGGTTGTAAAGGATGAGCTATATTTTAAAATATAAACATTTTAATTGCATAAGTCACTTGCAAACATAATGATTTTATTCAAATGCCAAACAATTATTTTATATAACAAAAATGGCACCACCCATATATTTTTAAAGGGTGGGATTGGGTTTGATATATTAACTGGACTATTATTTGAAGTGTTAGAGACCCTGATCAAAGACCATAATTAAAAAAAACACTCCTTGCTGATTACATGTATTTGCAGGTGGTTATATAACCATCTGGTCAGAATAGTTTGTGCACTGTATTTTTAAAGAACAAAGAGGCCTTTTGTTATCTTAGGCCTTCTTATCAGAGCTGTACCGCATAATAATTTGCATTATACAGCTGATTTAACAGTTTTTATATGTTTAAGATATCAAGAATAATTGTTAATGTTTTCTAAATCATTCTTAGTTATCATAATTCCTTTGGCCAATATTTGTGAATGTTAAAAGTTGAAGGGGTGAACTCAGTCCTATGTGAAGTTGAATGTAGCGTTTTTAAAAATTAATTGAATTTATTGGGGTGACATGGATTCACAAAATCATACACGTGTCAGAGTACATCTCAATAAAACATTGTCTGCACACGGCACCGTGTCCCCATCACCCCAAGAAAAGTTTATTTCCATTCCCATTTTTCCCTCCTTTGCCCACCTCTTCCTACTCTTTACCCCACTTCCTTTTGGCTATTGCCACTCTGTTGTGTGTGTCTTTGTGTTATAGGTATGGGGGTTTTGTGTGTGTGAGTGTGTGTGTTTTCTTTCTTTTCTTAATCCCTTCACCTTGAGGGTAATATTTGAGTTTTAGGTTTGTCCTTTTATAATTAGATGATGTTGTGATATTAAAGACATGGAAATTTAATCAGTGAATGAATAATTCTGGTCATTGTTGAACTTTGTATATAAACAGCAAGAGCAGGATTAACAAAAACACTAAATATCCAGCAAAATATAGTCCTGTGTCTGAGGAGACTGTAAGTATACCTTCTGTTGAGAAAAATTAATATTTGAGTTGTTATATTCAGTTTCTTTCTTTAACCTAACTGTGCATTCTTAAAGGCCTATCTATTTGTTGCATATTGAGCTATATAAATGTTTCTATTAGAATTAAAGCTTATTCTTCTGGGATTTGATTTTTATTTATTTATTTATTTTTATCTATACATAGGATTCTGAGTTACTAGTTGACAAATGAGTTTATTAATTCAGCATTTTTGTAATGAATGTTTAATGTGAATCTAATATCTTTTATTTTTCTTTTTGAGAAGTAATAGATCAACCCTCATATAAACTGACTTTATTGATATGCTATATTGAGAATCATTTAATTTCATCCAAACCAACTACTATTGAATTAACCATTGTGAATACTGTTGTTAAACTTTATAGGCTACTAATGTATTTATTTAAATTATAAACCCCTAAAAATAAGTTTAGAACAAATTATGTAACTCTCTCTGGGGATGTTATAAGTAGTTCCAAGTAGATGCTGGTTTAGGTTATCCTAAAGGAGCATTGTAGTGGAGAAGAACATAGTCTTTGGAGACAGACTACCTAGTCTCAAAAATGGGCTCAGTTGCTTTCTACATAATATTAGCCTTGGTTTTTCTCATTTGTAAAATGGGGAATATAATGCTACTTACCTTATAGACTTAGCATGAGAATTAAGTAAGACGCTACTAAACTATCACTGCATTTTTTCAGTGTTTAATAGATACTTAACATGCTCTTAATAACTTTCTTTTTATTATCTTAATGGATTCTTATGATAACTTCAGAACCTGCACTATTACTGGCCCTATTTTATGGAATAGGAAATCATCTTAGAGAAGGTAACTCTATCGTACAACATGTCAAACACACTATCCAACACATAGTAAGCACTCTGTAATGTAAATGCTGTTATGGCCATTATTCTAGAACTTGTCATTAGGTATTTTGAGAACACTAGTTTGCCTTTGAACTTAATAAATAATATTTATTGAATTATTCATTTATGGCACATTAAAAATAAATTGCTTTAACACTGTCCTCTACATGGCAATCCTTCAAATATTTAAGGACAAATAATCCCTTCTCCCTTGAAACTTTTCACCAGATTAGTACCTGAAGAGTTTCAAACTTGTAGTTGGTGATTATAACATAGGAAATGTATCTGTTCTGGATCTAATGTCAAATATTCTGACTGTGCTGAGAAACAAGTGATAATTGCCACCAGAAGATAAAAAAATTTAGAGTGCTGTCCTGGCCGGTTTGGCTCAGTGGATAGAGCATTAGCCTATAGAATAAAGGGTCCCTGGTTCAATTCCAGTTAAAGGCACATGCCTGGGATTGTGGGCTTTATCCCCAGTAGGAATCATGCAGGAGGCAGCCGATTAATGATTTTCTGTCTCATCATTGATGTTCTATCTCTCTCTCCCTCTCCCTTCCTATCTGTAATATATATATATATATTACAGATAGGAATATATATATTCCTATCTGTAATATATATATACATTTTGACAGCAATATATATATATATGTTGCTGTCAAAATGGTCATTTGGAAAAAAAAGAAAGCATATAAGTTGTAATTTTAATAAAAATGTAAAACTTGAATGGAACACTAGTTCAGTTCTACTGAGTTTGAGTATATTTAAAATTCCTAGTTGGTGCTCTATCCACTGAGCCAAACCAGCTAGGCCTAGAAGAGTGTTTTTTTTTTTGTTTTTTTTTATCCTTACCTAAGGACATGTTTTTATTGATTTTAGAGAAATTAAAAGGGATAGGAGAGAGAAAAACAAATAAACATCGATAGGAACAGAGAAACATTGATAGGTTGCCTCCCGTATGTGCTCAGACCAGAGATGAAACCCACAAATGAGGTATGCACCTTAACAGGGAACCAAACCCACAACCTTTTGGTGTATGGGACAACATTCCAACCCACTGATCAACCCGGCCAGGGCAGAAGACAATTTTTTTTTAATCAATTAAGTTTTGTTCAATATCACTTCAAAACCAAATGGAAATGTTCCTAAGCAAAAGGAATCAAATAGAGGGAAAACATGCTAAGCATTAAAATGTGCGAGCTAACATCCATGTCCCAGGTTTTTGCTCAACAGAATATAATAAAACCTAAGCATTTCTCTACTTTACATGAAGATAAAATGAACAAAAAATAGGAGAATTATGAAAGTGTAATAGGTTAACCATGGCACAAACTATTCTTCTATTTCAGGCAAAACCAAAATGTGGTTACTATTAACAGTGGCAAGTTTGATATCTGCTCTTGGAACTACACAAGCTTTCTTTGGAAGACAAAATCATGAAAGCCCTGAAGTGAATATGAATATTGTAAGTTACTGGAGGAAAAACACACACCTAAAAAACCAAGATATTACCATGATTTAGGATTACAGTAGACTTTACATGCTCAATTAAATATAACAATATCTATTTACTAGGTGCATTTTAGAAGTAAACTAAAAAAGTTTTTATTTTTCCTCACCAGGGTCAGATGATTTCTTATTGGGGATACCCAAGTGAAGAATATGAAGTCGTGACTGAAGATGGTTATATTCTAGAGATCTTCAGAATTCCTTATGGGAAGAAAAATGCTGAGAATAGAGGTATAACCTTCTTTCCCTCTTTCCTTTCTCCCTCTTTCCCTCGCCCTTCTTTCTTCCTCTTTCTCACTCTCTTTTCATGCCTTCCCTGTTCTTTTCCTCCTCTTTTTCCTCCTTTAATTTTTTCCTAGACTTAATGAGTCTAGATCATTCTGGAAATGCAACAGTGATGAAGTCATTTCTTCAAGGAGGGTCACCATCAAACGAATGAGCTGGATACACAGATAATTATAATAATGTGTGATCAGAGCAATGCTAGAAGTGTGCACAGGATATTAAGCTAGAAGTCCTGACAGTGACACCTAACTAGGAGAAGTGAAGGAAAGTTTGCTCTCTGAAATTAAACTGAGCGTAGTCCCGGAGCATCCAGCAGAAAGAGCCAGTGTGTGTGCTGCAGAGGGAGAAAGAGGAGGCAATTCAAGGCTCATTTGCTAAACAGATAAAAGTCATTTTTGCTAGTTCTATTAAAAATGTATCTTTTTCTCACTGTAGAAAAAGTTGTACAATAAAAAAAGTATACAATTAAGTAGGGCCACTTAATTTAACATCATGCTGAATTTCTTCAGCATATAATTTTTCAATAGTTTTTGGAGACATCATTGGCATACAATGGAACCACATATTTAAAGTCTATCATTGGATAAGTTTTGTCTCTGAGAAACCATCACCACAATTAAGGTAAGTTACTAAAACACAGTCAACTCAAGCAAATGGTGTAATTCTAGTGATACGAAACTCTGTTTCCTATCTTTATCATTGATCTTAGAATGAGAAATGTGTTTATACAGCATTTAAGTAATGTTCTTCTTTAGGCCAGAGACCTGTTGTGTTTTTGCAACATGGTTTGCTCACATCAGCCACAAACTGGATTGCCAACCTGCCCAACAACAGCCTGGGCTTCCTTCTGGCTGATGCTGGCTATGACGTGTGGCTGGGGAACAGCAGGGGAAACACCTACGCCAGGAGGAATCTCTACTATTCACCAAACTCAGCTGAATTCTGGGCTTTCAGGTAAAGAACAGGAACAATTCCCAATGGACACAAAAGTCAGTCTTGAGTTTAAAAAGCATGGGTGTTCACGCCTTTCAGTTCAGTCCCACTTCAACGTATTATATTCCAAGTAAGAAGAGAAGGAAGGAATTTTTATTCTAATTGTGTCTTGGGTTCTTCCATACGCCTCATTGCAAGGGCAGTTTTGTTTTTTTTTTCTCCAAGGGTAGTTTTTTTTTCCACTTTCTATGATCTCATTGCCCAGTATTTGGGAATAATGCTTTATGTTTCTGATTATGCTTTTCCAAATGGAAATGAGCAAAATGACTGAAGCAAGGAAATTTTCTGCCCTGAGTAGATTTGAAAAGAATCCATCCATATAGATTCAAGAGGATGTTAAACCTAGTTGGGGGTTCAGATCAACAATCTGAGTCAATATTAATATCGAGGTTGGGGTAGGAGCAATGACATTTGACACCATGAAGATATTATCAAAGCCTTTCTATCAGGCTCCCTTTTGTGCCTTATTCCCGAAAATTACTAATGGAAGTGGAGAACTGAAAACAATTTGGCTAAAAATGCTCTGAGAACTGAAAGGAAGCCTGTGTCCTGACTTTAGTGAGGAAGAGAGAGAGCAACATGAGAGGAGACTAGAGATCAGGCAAAGCTGTGTAAGGAGCCTTGCGGCTCATTCTAAATTTAATGAGTTGCCAATGAAAAGCTTTAAATAAGGGAGCAACATAATCCCATTTTCATTTTCAAAAGTCATTCGGGCTGATTTGTGAAGAATAAAATAGAGAGGGATATGGTTCATATTAAACAATAGTGGAACACTGCACACAAATTATTATTAAAGCTGACATTGTTTTAGGGATAAAATAATCCCAGCTACAGATATTACCTTGCTTTGATTAAACTGTGGCTTTAATGCTGTGCTTCAGAAATGATGTCAACTGCTTATAAGAAGCCACCCCAAAGAGCACTTGGCACTCACTAATGCATATCTAGTGTTCAATTTCTCAAAGGGAGCATTAGCTATAAACCTGTTTGACTTTTAGAAATTATAGCAAGGAAATATGTTGTATTATTTGTCTTTTTTTTTTTCTTGCAGCTTTGATGAAATGGCTAAATATGACCTTCCAGCCACAATTGACTTGATTTTAAAGAAAACTGGACAGGAAAATCTACACTATGTTGGCCATTCCCAGGGCACCACCATTGGTAGGTATAGCAGTCAAAGAAGGTGGTTTGGTTCACCTAGACCCTTTCCAGTTATGATGCAGGTGTGTTGATCATTGTGCTTATTGCTTTCCTTTCATTACATATACAATATAATGCCTTCAACAACCTGATGGTATAGGGACAATTATTATCCCTATTGTATATGTGGGGAAACAAACAAGGGGTAAATAATTTGTGCAAAGTAACATAGTTATTACAAACTAGAGGCCTGGTGCATGAAATTCCTGCACTGAAGAGAGGTGTCCCTCAGTCCAGCCTGTGCCCTCTTGCAGTCTGGGAGCCCTTGGGGGATGTCCAACTGATGGGGACTGCGGGGGACAGGCCTAAGCTGGCAGCTAGACATCCTTAGCACAGCCATGGAGGCGGGAAAGGCTACTGCCACCGCTGCTGTGCTTGCTAGCCATGAGTCTGGCTTCTGGCTGAGTGGTGCTCCCACTGTGGGAGCACACTGACCATCAGGAGGCAGCTCCTGCATTGAACATCTTCCCCCTGGTGGTCAGTGCACGTAATAGCGACCAGTCGTTCCGCTGTTTGGTTGATTTGCATATTAGCCTTTTATTATATCAGATGAAGTAGCTCATTTACCAGCCCAAGTACTCTGACTTCCAAGCCCATGCTCTGAAACATTGCACCACACAGCCTCTGCCCTGAATTGATTCCATTTACTCAGTCATATTAATGGGGCACTTACCAGATGTCCTGAGAATACAGGAATAAATAAAACAGATTAAAATATCTGTCTCTCTACTACTTATATTCCGGTGGGAGGAGGCAGAGAAAATAACAAAGATTAAAAAGTAAAATATAAAGCCCATCAGATAATCGTAATGATATGGAAAGAAAAGTAAATAAAGGAAAGATATTCGGAAGCATCGGAGGAGTACACGGCAATTTTAAATAGGGAACAGCACCAACCACTCTCTAAGCAATGAAGGAGGTCAGAGAGTGAGGTGCATACCTGGAAGACTGGTGTTCCAAAAAAGAGGGAATGGCAAGTGCAAATGATCTGAGCCTGTAGTAGTACAAATAACTCTTTTTTGCAACAATATGACTATCCTATTTTTAAAGTCAGGTAAAACAGCTCATCATAACTTTTTAAAAGCTCTAGCCCTATGTCCCCATAGAGAATCTATGGAAATAAAACAAATATTAAAAAATAATAGAATCTGATTAACTTGAACAAGCTCTAATGGTCAATCTCTCAGGTTTCCTCAGAAGGCAATCTTATTAAACCTACAGTAATGTCACAGTTGTAATACACACACACACACACACACACACACACACACTTCACCTATTTCTTTGTTGTTCTGTTTCAGGTTTTATTGCCTTTTCTACTAATCCCAAACTGGCTAAAAAAATCAAAGCCTTCTACGCATTGGCTCCAGTTGCTACCGTGAAATACATCAAAAGCCCGCTAAAAGAACTTACACTTATTCCTACATTCCTCTTCAAGGTATGTGATTCTTTTTAACTGAATGTAAGATATAAAATTGTCCATGGATTTCAAAGGGATGGAAAGTAACAAAAATACCCAGTGACCAATCATGTTTGTATTCAGAATAGAGATGTACACATTTACTAGTACTCTACTATTTCTTGCATAGAACCAACCACATTTGAATACCCACTACAGCTTGTGAGATCCCTGTACATTTCTTTGTTCTTGATTACTTTGTATGGTTTAGCAATGCCCTCATAGATATTTCATACACCAAGCACTCCATTCAGCTCTGTCAAGACTAGGATTCCACCCCTGGAGCAGGGAAGGGGGAATAAAACCAAAATAAAGCAGTCCAACAAGAATGGAAACTAACTAGGCCAAGAAAACTCTAAAGGGGAAGAATAAGATAGAAAGGGAAGGGAGAGTAGGGGAGGGGAGAGGAAAAGAAAGAGAAGGGAAGGGAAGGGAAGGGAAGGGAAGGGAAGGGAAGGGAAGGGAAGGGAAGGGAAGGGAAGGAAGGGAAAGGAAGGGAAAAGGAAAGAAGAAAGAGAAAAATAATGGTTGAGTGAAGCAAGGACTTTGAGATCCCTCTTTAAATACTCTTGGTTTTCTATGCCTTTTTCTAAGAGCTCCTTTCTCTTTAAATAGGGATTTGATAGGGCAGTAGCATAGATTTCAATAAAACATAAATATTAAGTAGGCATAATGGACAGCGAATTAATAATATTTATTTTTTCCAGAGCCTAATCACCTACTTCTCCCTCCCACAAAACCAACACATACATAGTTTCCTTAAAGAGAATAGTTTAGCCCAAAGCTATCCAATGTATTGATGATATTTCCTTGTCTGATTTTGTCCTATTCACTTCTTTTCACTCTTAATTAACATGTGTGTCTAAAGCCTAAGAAACTTTACTTAGAATCAAAGTGCAAGATTTTATGATGACCCTGGCTACATTGATACAGAACTTATTTCTCAGAGGCAATGTAGAGAGTGGTAAGAAACAAACAAACAAACAAACAAACAAAAACAAAACCCAAACCAAAACAAACAACAACAAAAATATATTAGATCTTAACTTCAAGGCTTAAATCAAGATTCTAGTTATAATCAGTTCTAATTAGCCCAAGAACTTGACTATTAGCCTCATGTTTTCTCAGGTATAAAATGGGGATGACAAAATGTCTATTTTGCTCAAGAAGAATTGGGGCCAATCCTTCCCATTATTAAATTACCTAGCCTCCTTGTCTTCCTAAAGACTTGACTGAAAATATGGTTCAGAGTCACCATTTTCCTTTCTGATCTTTTTATTATTTACTATTGAAATCACACATCTTGATGCTTAGTTGTGACATTCTGCCATGCTGTTTTATGATTTTATTTCATAACTCTGATTACCTAATTCTTTTGTGTTTAATACTCATTCTCAGCAGTCAGTACAGTTCTCAATGTAACAACAAATACCTGGTATTAATATATTCCTTGCTTATTCCACAACTTTATTGTGGGAATTATTTTAACATATTTGAAATTCCTAAAACAGCATTAAAAATATGAAGATATCATCAGCCTACTTACACCTGAACTGGTAAATTAGATGAACTAATTAGTATTTTCTGAAGCTTGACTTTTCCAACCTTCTGATGCTTTTATTTTTCAGGTTATATTTGGTGACAAAGTATTCTTCCCACATCATTATTTTGATAATTTCCTGGCCAATGAATTGTGCTCCCGAGAGTTACTAGATGAGATCTGCAGCAATGCTTTATTTATCATTTGTGGATTCGACTATAAGAACTTGAACATGGTTTGTATGCATCGAAATTTCTATTCTGAATATTTGGAAAAACAGTTTTTTTTATTACTTGTCCCATCATCACTTAGCAATGGTATTTTATAAGAACTAAGAGTAGCTTCAGAATTGTGTACGTGATCTATACTAATAAAAGGGTAATATCCTACTTAGACCAGATATCTGGACATCATTTTGGATGTCCTTCCTGATGAAGCCAGGGCTGGAGGGAAGCCATCTTGGGTCCTGGGTGCCTGCCAGTAGCTGGTGGAGGGAAACCCACGTTCTGGGTGCCAGAGGAAGTCAGTGCCCGCAGCTGGGGGAAGGAAGGCCTACTTTTGCACGAATTTTCGTGTATTGGGCCTCTAGTATACAGATAAGCCTATGAGAAATCACAAATCATTGCTCCCATTTTTGTCCTCTGCAGCTCCCTTCCATCACCCCATTGTCCCTTTATGCAGAAAAAGTCACAACTCACTAAACTAGTATTAGTTTATACACACACACACACACACACACACACACACATACACACATACACACACAGTTCTTCAAAGCAAAAAGTTTTCCATTTTGATAAAATGGAGATGATAAAGTCCTCTTTGAGTGGCTACAAATTATATAGATGAGTTAGCCCCATGGTTGGCAAACTGCAGCTCGCAAGCCACATGCGGTTCTTTGGCCCCTTGAGTGTGGCTCTTCCACAAAATACCACGACCTGGGCAAGTATGTTTTGAAGAATGGCATTACAAGAAGTTTAAGTTTAAAAAATTTGGCTCTCAAAAGAAATTTCAATCGTTGTACTGTTGATATTTGGCTCTGTTGACTAATGAGTTTGCTGACCACTGAGTTAGCCTATGCAAGCTCTAGCAGGGGTCCTCAAACTTTTTAAAGTGGGGGCCAGATCACGGTCCCTCAGAGAGCTGGAGGGCCGGACTATATGAACTACTAATTCCTACTGTAACACCTCGGCTGCGCTCACTGCCCAAAAAACCTGGTGGGCCGGATCAGACTCCTCTGCGGGCCGCATGTGGCCTGCAGGCCGTAGTTTGAAGACCCCTGAAAGTGATGTACAACTGTGTTGTTCATATCCTTCCAGTAAATGCTGCCTTTAACCACTTGAACTGAATCAGAAAAACTTACATCTTTGCTTTAATATGTATGTCTTTTCATCACAATATCAGAAAAACTCCCATCTTAGAAACAAAATAAATATCTAAGTGTGAGCATGCATGTGTGTGTTTTCTTTGTAGAGCCGCCTGGATGTGTATCTGTCACATAACCCAGCAGGGACTTCTGTTCAAAACATGCTCCACTGGACCCAGGTATCACTTCACAAATGCTGTTAAAATTTATTTTCTGAGCCTGAACCTAAAGCACGTTTTCAAAATAATCTGTCAAATGTTCCTGTTGGGGAATTTTTCTGGCATGGGACTACCAGCTGAAAATACTTGTCATTCCATGTGAGTGAAAATCCCATGAAAGCAGGTGCTCTGGGCAGCAAAGAAATGAATGATTTTTATGAAAGCAAAGCTGTGTTTAATCTTGCATCAATACCTTGTCCTGGTGATTCATAGATTTTATTTTGGGAAGGAAAATAAGTTTTTTAATACTTGTAATTGTTTTAATGGAAAGTTATGCTACTTGGACATGTTTGGGTTGTATGTTTCACATAGCAAGCAGAGTTTTTATTTCCTTGTGTTCTTCATTTCTCTACCCTAGGCTGTTAAGTCTGGGAAATTTCAAGCTTTTAACTGGGGAAGCTCAGTTCAGAACATGATGCACTTTGATCAGGTAAGCTTCTTAAAGTTAAAACCATTCCCATTTTGAAAGACAAATCTTTAAAAGGTTAAAAATGAAATTATGATAACTATGCATATATTTTCCAAAGGAATGTTTATGCCTAAACATAGCCTTAAGGAAATAATAAAGTAGAATATTATTTCCTTGTGATTCCTTCATCATGTCAAACATCACCCCAGTCTCCCATTCTCCCAATGGGTTCTCATGTTCCAGTGGCTTTGCTCATTCGAGCTGCTCTGGAAATAACACATCCCTACATGTGACAAACTTAGAATGAATTCATCACCCCTCACCACATTAGACAGACCTGCCCTGCATCCCAGACCCCCGTCCCCCAGCAAGCTGTTCTCTCCAAAGTGCAATTAACTAGTGTAATAAACCAGTAATTCTGACTGTTTGTGAGATAGAGCTGGAATCTCAGATCTCTTTAAACAATATCCTCTCCTTTGTTGTCAGCCAGGAAAGTGATTCCATCACATTTCCAGATATAAAAGAAGAAAGGAGTGCTTGCAGGTTGAGGGTGAGAATCTTTTTCAGCAGAAGGCCCTGTGGGGTGCAGGCAGACATATTGTGTGCTCCTCCCACTTTTTGTAGCACAAAGAACCCAAACTTTGGGGTCTGCCCTCCTTGAGGTCAATATGAGTTCAGGCAATAGTTTCTTCACCTCTTCTCCTACATTCAGGGAGTTACTGATAATATTTAATGGGATAATGTCCATCAATCCTCCACACAGGGTAAACTCTCAGATTATCACTGGCTAAATATGAACAAGGGGAAGACCTACTTTTTTTTATTTTTTATTTTTTGTAATTATCTCCTTCTCCTCCTTATCCCACCTCAAAATTTTCCACACAAGTAGTAGCTGAACAAAACTACTGATTTTCATCTGCTTCCATGCCTCAATATTAGAAGGGGTTTATCCTATGTGTAGAGAAGATGCCTCCATTTTTAAAACATCTTTGATACCTTTAAAGAGGCTTTTAGAACATCATCAGATCAAACATTTGTTGAAAACACGCTCCACCTTCAACCATCACTTCCTCAAACAGTTGAAACAGAGACTTGCTTTGAGTCTGTCTTCCTTCTGAGCTCTAAAACCAGTAATCCAATGATTCCATCTTGAGGATTAAGTGAGACCAGAATAACATAATTCTAAATCCGCCCTCTCTCCAAGCAAGCTGGTAATTGCTAAGGATGATCTTCAACTATAATAAAGTATTAAAATATTAAGGAAAACTGCACATGGTAAAAATCCTTTGTTATGGAAAGTTGCTTGTTACCTAAAGTGACAATAGAAAAAAATAGTATTTGGGGTTAGTTTTGTTGAGAATATAATATAAAAAACTAACAAAATTATCTGGGAAAATTCTATCACTCTTTTTTAAGGTCCTGCTTTATGAGCCTTTATAAAGGCTATGTGTGAATGACAATTTTCTAGAAATAGGAAATGGATCTGATAATAGCTTTTCTCAGAATTTAAACCAATATTAAGTAAACTCAGGCAAGTATTTAACACAAACAGCTTCTTAAATGAACCAATTGATTTATAGACTCACCATATGGCAAGTCAATACAAAACCAAAATGAATCAGGATATTTTTTAAAAAAATAAATCTTTATTGATCATATTATTATAAATGTCCCCCCCCCCCCCCCATTGCAGTGAGAATCCAATAAAGTTCACTTCCTCCAGCTGGAGTTGAAATCTAAATTTTTAGTTTGTAAGAATTGTTATCTAAAGCCCCACTGTTCACTCATGGCCAGGGACCAGCAACAGCTGCATCACCTGGGAATGCAGAACCTAAGGCTCTTCCCCCAGATATACTGAATCAGAATTTTCATTTTCACAAGATCCCTAAGAGATTCACAAGCTGTTAAATTTGAGAAGCACCGATCTAAATCATATTGTAGCCAATTTGCTCTGTGGATAAAGGTGACTTTCTTTGAGCAATCATTGCTTAGAATTTACTTGTAAAACTAGGTAATGACATTTGCGACAATATTGATGAATTTTGAGGACATTAGACTAAGTGAAATTTGTAAGAGAAAGATAAATACTATATGATCTCATGTGGAATCTAAAACAATAAAAACAAACAACGATAAAACTGAGCTCATAGTAATAGAGAACAGATTGGTGGATGCCAGAGACAAGGGTAGGGAGTGGGCAAAATGGGTGAAGGTGGTTCAAAGGTTACAAACTTCCAGTTATAAAACAAATGACTCCTGAAAATGTAAATGTATAGCACAGTACTATCATTAATAATACTGTATTGTGTATTTGTAAGTTGCCAAGAGAGTGAATATTAAAAGTTCTCATCACAAGAAAAAAATTGCAACTATGTAAAGTGAAGGAAATTCACCAGATTTAGGGTTTTGATCATTTCACAATATATACATATATTAAAACATTATGTTGTACATCTAAAATTAATATAATGTTTTATGTCAATTATACCTCAATAAAAAATATATTGGCCAGTTTAGGTTATATGAGCTATCCATGGAATATGTATTATGGTTTAACGTGCAGATACTTATGAAAACTGTGGTTCTTTCTCTCTTGTATATTAGCCTACACCTCCCTTCTACAATGTGACGGACATGAATGTGCCAATTGCAGTGTGGAATGGTGGCAAAGATTGGTTGGCTGACCCTCAAGATGTTGACCTTTTGCTTCCAAAGCTTCCTAATCTCATTTACCACAAGGAGATTCCCTTTTACAATCACTTGGATTTCATCTGGGCAATGGATGCCCCTCAAGAAGTTTACAATGAAATTGTAAACTTGATGGGAAAAGATCAAAAATAGTTCCGGATTTGAAGAATTATCTATTTACTTTTTCAAATACCTTTTTTTTTTTCTCTCTCCTGTCAATGATTTTCTGTAACGTTTGAGATACAATGCTTCTTTCAATAATTTTGACTTTAGAAATATATTAGCATCATCCAATTTTCTGTTTTTCTTTTAAAAGAATTTTTTAGCCCTAATCAGTTTGGGACTGAAAGATCCCAGGTTTGATTCTGGTCAAGGGAATGTACCTTCATTTCAGGCACATCCCCAGTAGGAGGTGTGCAGGAGGCAACTGATCAATGTTTCTCATTCTCTATCCCTCGCCTTTCCTCTCTGCAAAAAAAAATCAATAAAAATATATTTAAAAAAAAGAATTTTTTAAATTTGATTTTTCACTTAAAAAATGATTTAGAAACATTTGAAAGAACACATTTCTGGAAAGGTGAAACTTCCAATCTTCTCATTCAATTTATCTTCTAAACTCAGTGTAGATTATGATCTATAAACCATGAGTAGCTCCAAAAGACATTCCTGGGATTGAATATTGACACCTCGTATGCATGCTTGAGGTTGATTCTGGTCAAGGGCATGTACCTTCATTTATAAATTGCTTTCCATTATCTACTATTGCTGAAGCTGTCATTCCGTCTTCATAGTCAGAATACCACCTGCTCTTTTGCATGTTTAACCCCATGAAAAGGCAAATTAGGGGTAAAATGAGTTGTAGTCAGCTCACTTTCACCTCTTACGGAGAAGAGAACAAGGATAGGTGAGGAAGCAACAGACAATCTGGTTCAGGAAATTGAGAAGCAAAGAGTGTGCTGTCCAATCCTACTACTGTTCTGCCGCCCCCATGTCCCTGGACCTCAGCACAAAATAGGCAGCAACTAACCAAGAGGTTTTTGAAATCACTGCCACTTTCCTGGCAACCACAGGATCCAGAAACATTCCCACTGCTATTTAAGTCAGAAAGTACAACACCCAGCAGTTGATACACCTCCCCACAAAATGATGGCTCCCCAACACTTCCAAAATTTCCAGTAAGCACAGCCTCACCTGGGAAATTCTACTAACCCTATAATATTATGGCCTCATATTTAATGCAACTCAGCTTTGGGGATCCCACTTATCATGCTGTGGTTGGGTTTAATGTATAAAATAGAAATGAGATCAAGAGTATCTTGTACCTAGCATAGTATACAGAACAGAGTGGATAGTCACAAAAATCTGTTAATGATTTTTATTATATTGTCAAGTCCCTCAAACTTTGCTAGAAAGCCTGAAGCTTTCTTATTTGTTTTTATTCCCTCACCTTAGTTTTTAAAGTGGAAACAAAACAAAAAAATTTTAAAAGAACATTATTTAGGGGCCTTTATTTCAATCATTTCTGTGAACTTTGACAGCAGCCTTTAATAAGCTGACATGAAAATCTCAGCGACTAGTGTCAAATACTCATGGTGGTGTAGCCAATAAGAAGTCAGATATTTCATCAGTTCTGCCTTCTCAAGAGAAGAACACCCATTATATTCTTAGTCTCTTGTGCTTTTCCAGCCAACTGCCTTTTGTTAAGTTTGCATTTAGCAAACAGAGGCAGTTTTGGTTTGGATCTTTAAACACAAGTTAATGTATTTACTCCCACAGCAGCTCTGCTAATATCACTCATTCCTAAATCTGAATTGTTAACATATAAGCTGATCTTCAAGGATTCATTTCTCTAGCCACTTCCCTCTTCCTGTGTTAATTTTAATCAAATTTGAGACATCACATATTTCATCCATATTTCTGTATGTATTTCTAGAAGATAGGTCCTCTTTCTTTAACATAATAATACCATTATCACAACCAAATCTTCCTTAATATCAATAATTATTCAGTCAGTGTTGAAATTTCTAATTGTCTCATAAATGTCAATTTTTTTCTACAGTTTATTTGAATCAGAATCCAAATCAAGTCTTCTCCTTTTATTGGTTGATCTGTTTCTTGTCTCTTTAGGTCTATACATTACCTATTCCTTTTATTTTGATTCATTTAATATTTCATTATTTTTAAAAGAACTGTATTTTTCCTTAAACTTTCATACCACAGAGATTTTGCTATTAATATTTCAGTAATGCCACTTAACATGTCCTCAAAACTTCATTTCCCATAAATCAGGATTTCTTAACCTCAACACTATTGACACTTTTGGCCAGGTAATTTTTCATTTTCCTGGTTAAAGCATAGATTTTGGCATCATTGCATAGTATTATATATTTCAGATTTTATACACTGGTCCAGAAAACTATTCTTTTAATATGGAAATATGCTTTGTGGCTATATCAGAATTGCTGCAAATATACCAGTGTTTTCCTTTTATATCTCTAAAATTTAACTGTTCTATTAAATTAATATCATAAGTGTCCAAACAGGGACATGTATTCTTATGATAAAAACAATTACTGTTGTTTAAATAATATTTTCATATTCACAATCTATTTTAACAATTGAAATTTTATAGAAACTATAGTTACCCAAATCTGCCACTAGAGGGAGGGTATGGAGATTTGCTTGAGTTTTCCCTTTTACGGTAATACATGTTATTTACATACTCTAATCAAAAGATGGTGCTTGGGCTCCTTTTACTTAGTAAGTTAAATTCCCGTGTTAAAAATGGTTCAGAATTTATCTTTAAAGAGAGAATTAAGTCTTAGAGAAATTTACAAGTGAAAAGTAAGGGTCATTGTTCCTGTGCTGGACTTTCCAGGGGCAGGACTGACTAGCAGCCATTTCTGTTTGCTCCGCCCTAGAGATTCCCTGAGACCCCACCCTACCTAATTTATAACTCTACCCTAGCTCAGTACAGTGGCTTTTGCATATGAATGGCCTATTCTTCTCAGCCTAAAACCTGTTAAACAAGCTGCAGCTGGGTCAGGGAGCCCCAAAGCTATCAAGAAAAGGCCCTAGGCCTTACCAGCACCAGCTGATCTTGCTTCTCAGTTTAAAGAATAAGGTAGGAAATTTAGGGAAGTCAAAGCATTAATTGGAAATATACAGCATGCTGGGTATTGCAGTAGGATGATGATGTAGGGTGATTATAGACATTTTATAGATGCTCCTATGACTGGGTTACTGCATCCATCTTTGGGTGAAAACTGTTTTATGAACTGCGAGACTATAGTCTGCGGAGAAGCTTCCAAATCATCTAACCCTTGAGGCACAGAACTCTGGGACTGGATTGGCAGGCGGGGAGATTTTTAGTTCATTGCAACCCTTTTGTCATCACTGGTTCAGAACTCACCTAACAAGGTTGCCTGGGCAGCATCTGTTGTATTTGAAGTCATAATTAATCTGCTTCAGTTGAGAAATTTCTGATTGCAACATCTTTTGGGCTGTTAGTAACAACATGCTGCAGTGACAGCTGCCTCTGGAAGGAGCTGGGATCACCCGAAGCTCCTGAGATTTGAAGACGGCTCCCCGGAGAATTCAGGTAATGACTTTTTATCTTTTTTGCAGAAACTGAGTGCACAGTGTTTCAGTGAGACATTGGGGCATATCTGGAGGTACAAAACTTCTCATGTTGGTGAGGAGTGTTGTGTTTTGATTCTGGCAAGTTAGGCAAGAAATAGCAAAAGTAGATAGTGTGACCTAACCACTCCAGATGGCAAAGATATGCTGCGGGGTTTCTAGGCAGGTTAGGGTGAGTTTTCCCTTTCAGAAAGCTGCGGTAGCATTTACAAAGCAGACATTACTGTACTTGGATCTCCATAAAAGGTGGCATCACAAGTCTACACCTGGGAAATGCTAGTCACAGATACTTTTAAGGATTTAAGAGACTTTTCTTTGGGGTTGGGCATATAAAGGCTTGGGAAGTAGTATTTGGAAAATATTTCTTTAAATGTATGGCGTTTCCAGAAAGCCCTTCATTGTCCCATTCCAATAGCCTTGAGCATGTGTATTCTCTTTCTCGCCAGCAGGGTCATCTGCAGGGAAACGTGGGCCCAAATGATTGGCAGGAATCACTGCACTAAGTTACATTCCCGCTTATGGGAATTGCAAACACTCTTCAATAGCTTGTGAAGGACACACCATTTTCATTTTCTGTTGTCTCGCCATGAAAGTGTACTGGGTGAGAAGTGAGAAATGGTTTATATTGATGTGGATGTTATTTAAGCATATCATGTTCCACCAACTCTTGGAATCGCAGGCCTGCATTGAAGGCTGGGGAAATGGGGAGGAGTCAACTGATGGACTAATATGCCCCCTAGAAATGAGAGATGAAAGGATTGTCCTTTAATTCTATATATCAAAGCTAAATGGTTGTTGCTTTTGTTTGTTTTTATAATATACTTACCCTTTATTTTTCATTCGTAAGATATAAGAAAGAAGTTGTTACCAGACTTTATAAAAAGAAGTCAGTTCAAATATATAATACAATCACACTTAGTACACTTAGCACTTCAGACTGAAAATATGATGTAGAACTAGATAAATTGGGGGATGAGAATATGGTGTTAAAGGAGTCATTTTACTCTAATGCAACTTGCTTTAATGTTCCTTCATTGGCCCATTCTAGTCTCCTTTACTTAATTTTAAAAAAAAGAAGAAGAAAGATAAATTATTTCCTCCACAGCACCTCCCTTGTAACCTATATTATTTTTTAAAACTTAAAGCAACAGTTTTTCAGAGTTCAAGTGCTTCATCCTTAGCATTGGAGAAGAGCCATGAAAATAGTGTGCCCTCTAGTTGTTTGCTGTATTTTTTTTTTTTTTTCTTTCTCTTGAGCATGTTATTTCTTATTCATCCTCAAACTCTTCTCCTCTACTAACTCTGGGCTTGAAGCATAGAGCTATTGGCCTCTCAATTCTATTTGAAGATCACATCAAAGCTGACCAGTCCTCTTCCTTTGACACAATGCGCTGAATCCTCAGATCTGAAATTTGCCAGCCTGGATATTCTATGGTGCAATGATTTTCTTTCATTCACTTGTTAGTAGTCTCACTCTTTCTAATTCATTTTGTCTTTCACTCTGGGTGGAGGAATTCAGAGAACAGTGAAACTGTCTAGATCTAGATTCTGATTAACCTCACTAATACTTGTGTAACCTGATGAGTCACTGTTCTTTGGTAAGAGATAAAAATATCATAACTTTGTGAAGGAGAAAGTTCAAGTAAGGACACAACAGAATCTAAATTTTGTAAACCTTCCAATCTGTTTTAGATTGAACACTTCAGGAAAAAAGGGAAAATGTGGCAGATGTCAAAATGTTTTCATTGACAGACAATGGCCTTTTGGCAAACCCAGTCATTTGTAACACTGACAAAAAATCCCTTAATAACCCCCAAATCCAGGCAACTGCAGAAGTAAATGGCTAGTACAGATGGAAATACTAAAACTTATGGACTTTATCCCATAAGACTCCTAGGGTCTTTACTCAAAGATCACTGAGTTTAAATGTATACCTTATTATTTCTAAATGTCTGAAGTATATTTTTATTATAAGACTAATTCATACTAATAAAATAATTGAGAAATATATATATATCAATATAACCAATAAATAAATTAGAAGAGGAAAAATTTTTATTCCCAGTATTCAAATATCACCATTATTATTTTGGAGTAATCTTTCCACTCTTTTTGAAGATCATAATGTTTTGGTTTGTTTATTTGTTTAAAGTATTTTAAAAATAAAATTGTAATTATATTCATGAGCTGCTTAAAAATGGTTTTGGCTTCTATAGCCCCAAACAATTTTGCAAAACTCCATACATACTTAGAAATATTTATTCTGACATAAATTTTTTGTCATAATTTTAAATAGTTACACGGGATGAACTCTAAGGGACGTTGCAAATATTGACAGTTTAAATAAAATTGTTACAATTTAAGAAACTATGTCCAATAGAAGAGACTTGATAACCAATATCCATTGGGAAAAAATCTTGTATTTAATAAATTGAAATTTACATCTTTTATTTCTTTCCTTGAATCCAAATTTCCATCCCACTTTATTTCTAGAGGTGCTACATGTTTTCATAAATGTACATCTTAAGGAAATATATTACTATGCTTAAAGTCTTTTATTGATGAAGTGATTCTTCTTTGCAACTAAAAAGTGAAAGTGCATCAATATTTTGTTTTCATTTTTTATAACCATAAGGTTTCATTTTCTTTTAAATTTTAATGCTTTTTCATTGCAATTTTTATTAGTATATTGGTCAAAAGATTGTAAGTATTATATATTAAAAGTTTAGTGAATAATTATTAGGCTTTAAAATAAAATTTTTAGCAATGAATCTCTTAATGACATGAATGAACATTTTCATTTTAATTCCTCCCAGCGATGAATGATGATTATTATTTATTGATAGATAAATGAAAATTCAGCATCAATATTTTCCCATTTATTCAACAGATGCTGCTGAAAAGAATGTTTACATATCATTCAATTCTTCAAACTCTTTTTGAAGTTCTGTGTTATAAGTCACAGAGTGATGCATCTGCAAAAATATTATTATTAATAATTTATCTCCTAACAACTCAAGTAAACCCTTTTTCAATTTTTTGAAAGCAAAGAAGCTAACTGATTTGAATAGATTATTTGCCCTTGAAAAAGTTGATTACTTTATTAATAATGGTATTTTCAATACCAATCTCAATATTGTCAAGTGTTCCTTTGTTAGAGGCCTCAGACTTTTTTAATTCAGCCCGGGACAATGACCATAGATTCAGGAGAGAAGAGAGGCTTTCTTTGTAAAGTTAGAAAAGGAGAACCTGCTGCCGAAACCGGTTTGGCTCAGTGGATAGAGCTTTGGCCTGCTGACTGGAAGGTCCCAGGTTCAATTCCAGTCAAGGGCATGTACCTTGATTGTGGGCACATTCCCAGTGGTGGGTGTGCGGGAGGCAGCTGATCGATGTTTCTAACTCTCTATCCTTCTCTCTTCTTCTCTGTGAAAAATCAATAAAATATATTTAAAAAAAAAAAAGAAAAAGAAAAAGGAGAACCTGCTTAAAGCTGCATATTCTCTGGTCATATCAATTTTATGAAAGGTTATATATGGGAGTCAAAGTCCTAGGATTTGATTTTTAAAATTTTATGTACATCCCGGGCAACATGGCTCAGTGGTTGAGCATTGACCTATGAACAGGAGGTCCAGGTTCAATTCCCAGTTAGGGCACATGTCTGGGTTGTGGGCTGCATCCCAGTGTGGGGTGTGCAGGGGGAAGGCAATCAATGAATCTCTCTCATCATTCATGTTTCTATCTCTCTTTCCCTCTCCTTTTCTTGCTTGAAATAAATAAAAATAGATTAAAAAAATTAAAAAAACTTTATATACTTGTATATATCTTTGGAAAGTCATTGCATACCCTAGTATCAAGACTGCTGGTGTAGCCGAAACTGGTTCTGCTCAGTGGATAGAGCATCAGCCTATGGACTGAATGGTCCCAGATTCCATTCTGGTCAAGGGCATGTACCTTGGTTGTGGGCACATACCCAGTAGGGGGTGTGCAGGAGGCAGCTGATCCATGTTTCTCTCTCATTGATGTTTCTAATTCTCTATCCCTCTCCCTTCCTCTGTAAAAAAATCAATAAAATATATTTTTTTAAAAAGAAAAAGAAATGTCATATCCTATGAAAGACATATCTTGAAAATGCTTAAAGAAAGTTGTCATTTTTTCATGGTGAAGGGACTGGAGTCCATGATGAAAATACCTTGACAGCTGTGGTGACTGGCAGTGGCTGCAGCAGTGGTGTGGTGGGGCTGGTGCCTTCTCCTAATCAGCCCGGTCACCTCAAACAAAGGGAGGCCATACTGTGGCTTAGGTCTGCTCCCAATGGCTTGAGCCATCCATAGGACATCCCCTGAGGGCTCCCAGTATGTGAGAGGGGGCAGGCTGGGCTGAGGGATCTCTCCCCAGTGCATGAATTTCAGGCTCCTAGTATGATTATATTACTATTTATTATTATTATGTCCTAGATTTGAGTACTTTATCAAATAGTTTTTGAAATATTTCACTTTGTGAATTGCCTTTTTATTTTTTATTTTTTTGGTAACTAGAATTTTTTTATTTTAATAAAGTCTTGTTTATAATATTTTTATAGGTAGTTGTATATCCCAAATTTTAAACATATTATCTTCTGTTTTCATCTAAGAGCTTTATAGTTTAGTTTTATGTTTAGGATTGCAATACACATTGCAAGTATATATTTGGGTATGGTTTGAAATATAGATCAAGGTTTCCTTTGTTTTGTTTTTAAAAGTTGTTCCACCAGAATAATTGTTAAAAATATTTTCCTTTTCTCATTAATCTGCATTGAAGCCTATGAGTTATTAAATTACATATAATTTGGTCTATTTCTGCATTCCATTCTTTTCCTGGATCTTTTTCAATCTTTTTATCAATACCGCATTGTTGTAATTACAATAGCTTTGAAGTAAATCTTAAAACCATGTCATATATTTCTTCCACCTTTATTATTTTTCA